GTCTATCATTTGTTTACAAATTTTAGGGAAACAGTCATTCTGTAAACAACTGCAAGAAATGCTAGACAAACGTCACTGTTAGATTCCACACTGGCCTCTCATCCTTCCAATTCCTCATAAGTACTTTTAATGCCATAAAACCAACCGCAGACAAAGTGTATTCTTGGTCACAAATACAGCGAATTAGGAATAAGGGAAAATCTGATGTAGAAGTCATGAGGAGCACTGTCAAAACATGTATACTTTCTTTATTTGACCAATTTTACTTGTGCCTGACTAAGTTAAGGCTGGGTACTTTAAGTGAAAAATTGGCTGAGGATTTCAATATTTCTGTTTCAACTGTAAGTCGTGTATTTTTATCATGGGTTTACTTTCTGTATTTTTTATCATGGGTTAACTTTCTGTATTTTGTATTGGGGACCCTCTCTATCTGGCCATCTATAGCTAAAATTGATAAGCATTTGCCACAAAGTTTTAAGTTGCTGTATTCCAAGTGCCGTGGTATTATAGATGCTTTTGAAATCAAGGTGCAGGCACCTTCTAGCATGCTTTTAAACAGTCCATGTTGTTCATCATACAAGAGCCACACAACATACAAGGGCAATGTTGTTATATCACCCTTGGGTGAGGTGATTCATGTGAGCTCACTTTTTGAGGGAAGTATATCTGATAAAGAATTAGTAAGCCAATCAGGACTTTTAAACTTGCTTTACAAAATTATGGCAGACAAGGGTTTTACCATTGGTGATCTTTTGAGCCAATAGGATGTACGGTTACAATGCCTACCTTTCTATCAAGCAAGGGGAAGTTTTCTAAGAAGGGAATAGATAGTAGCAAGCAGGTGCATAATTTAAGAGTTCACGTAGAGAGGGCCATTAGAAGGGTTAAGGAACTTCACTTTTTTGATAGGATAATTCCCCTCACTTTAGCAGGAAGTATTAACAAAATGTGGACAGTAGCTTGTCTAATAACTAATTTTCAAGGTTCCTTATTTTATAACCAATCATAAACAATCAGTGATTTTAAAGTTCAAAATAAGATTTATTGGGATACTTTCACACTGTCAGCAAGGGCAAAAGAGGTTGTTCTCTTTGTTAGATACCCATATATGATTGAAGTATAATACAATTTTCTGTTTAACCCAGCCTAACTCCTGGTTCATGTAGTTGACATAATGTTAGGGAAAGCAGCTAATTCAATTCACTTGGTTTTTGTTGCCTTTAAACATTACAATATAATAAAATGTTAAATTATAAAAGCTTTTGCTTTCTTGTGTTGTTATGTTCAACGGGTTGCCCAACTGAACCAGCATATGTCAATTGCAAAATAAATATTTTTGTAATAAAGTACTTTTTTATTGGATACATGATGGAAGGTGATAGTTAGAATAACAAAGGTGCAGTTTTTCTTGCATTT